ATTAGGGTGAAAGGACAAGAGGTGTTCTCATACGAACGCACTGAGCGTAATGTTCGTCTCAATCCTATAATTTCTTGCAGGAATGCCGAGCTTTGGGCAGAACATATCGCTTTGCCCGGAAATCGAACTCGGCGTCGTTACGTTTCCGGGCATTGTGCCAGCTTATTGGGCTTTTTCTTCTTTCTTCTTCATTGCATAATGAATATTTCCGTAATATTTCTGTAACTTGTATAACAAACCACATGACAGGGGAATGATGGTCCATAGCAAGTGCCGTAGCTCTTTACGGGCTCGGTCCGGAGGTCAGACTCAGAGTAAGCCTCCGCCTACGCCAACTAGGCTTCCTCCACTCTGAGGCAAATAAGTTGATCACAAATTCGTTTTGGGGAATAAAAACATTTACTCGTTCACGGTGTTCCCCTCCTCCCCCTCGCCAGGCCTCACCCCTCCCCCGGAGGTAACTACATAATTCAGCTCCCACTCAGCGAGTCGCTACAATTCTAAGTATTTTCTGACTTTGTAACATTATTCATACAATATTATATTAAGATATTATTTATTACCATATTGTATTGTTATTTGTATTTCTTATTATAATCTATTATTATTTGCTATCACAGGTGACAGGTGATATCATTTGGGGCATTTCGTACTTCCCCAGATTTCTCAATTGTCTTCAAACTTATTTCATTTTATCTCGTGGCTTCGTGTTGTTGTTTTTTCGCGGGGTTGTTCTAATGATGCCTATTTACGGGCAAAACATTTGGTGTGACAAGGGTTTCGCCAAGAGCCACGGCTCGGCTCCAGTCACCTTACCTACACTCCTTATCCCTGAGCCAGAGTAGGCGTGGCATTTGAACATGGCACGGAATTGGTTACTCGTGGAATATTCCAGTCTGGGACAACTGTCATCTTGTTCTGTGTTGGACAGAGACACGACAACAATTGTGTCAAGATGAAAATATCCACCAGAAGCATAGACACTTCAGGTTAAGTTGAGGAATGCAGCCAAGTCTACGCGATCCCAGGGGATTTCGAGTATACCTATTGGACCATTGATTGCATTATGGGGAATAGTCATCCCCTTTAGTTGGCGAAATGGAGCAAACTTGAGGATGGTGAACGTTTAGTCTTTACTTTGCCTTTTCCGGGATTTGGACCCCTTCGCGTGCTTGAAACCCCATCTCCAGAACGCATGATTCGCAGCGATGGAAAGAATCTGCAGGCCAAAAGCCGTGGAAGTCCGTGAGAAAGCTGATAGAATGAGCCCCTAGTCGGACTCAATGAGGCGTCATGTCTGCTCGTCTGTGAGGTGAAAATTGAGAAACTCTGCAAACTGCTTCGCCCTTTTCTGCTCGACTTCCTGAGAAATCGACTTCTTGGTCATCTTTTGTCAGCTTCTAACTTGGCCAATCCACTTTCGTCATCTTTCTATTTAGAATTTTGGATATTTTAAGGTAATTTACGGCTTGATGAATAGCAGGCAGTGCTTCGCCCTTTTATCTACAAAGAATTTGGTGCCAACTGTGGTAAACTCCCAGTTTGTGCTGTTGTGCTTGTTCTTTGTGCTCTGCTCGGATATTTACACCGCCGGAAGGGGGTGACGGCAGCAGCCAGAATAGGGGCGGCAGACAACGTTTGGGGAGCTTCTCGGTTAGTTCTTCAGGTTGAAGACAGACTTCGTGATGGGCCAGCAGGAAGTTTGTAGGTAGCGGTATTAGAAACAGAAGTGTGGGTGCTAGTTGACTTGCCCGTGAAGAAAAAAGGAAAGGAGACCATTGAAAACGCTCCCAATCGGGCCCTACTTGTGTCAAGCACACGCGAAGAAACGATGTGAATACTGGGCGAGAAGCCAGACAAAGCAGCGATAGAGCATGCAAACAAGCGAGACAGCAGATAAGACATCTATCAACGCGGGCGGAGTCACATGGGCAACTTTATGCCTTATCGCGACTACCTTACCACTTTCTGACAGAAACTTGTAGAGGGATATTAGTGTTACCCACACTACATACCTCTTCGTCTGAAGGGCTTGAACAGTCACAAGTGATCGTGGTCTCTGCCTTCGAGTACTTACCAAACCCAATCGAAAAGGGTTGGATGGTTTGGCTGGCCAGGGCAAAAGGAAATCCGGGATTTGGCAGATGCCATTAGACCACCTCCATGCAGTGAGAAAACAAAAGATGAAGTTTTCGAAGCAGGTTGATCGCTTTTTGGGATGCGCCACGTACTGTATTCACGTAATGGCATTTGGAGGCAGTTTGTCTTGCCCAACTGAATAGAAACTGTTTTTCCCAAGACTGCACCTCTCAAGATCCTCGTTTTCGCCTATTCATTTCTTGTAATGCAGGAGAAGCAGAAGTTTTCAACTTCTATACCTGATCGCGGACTGAGCTTTTAAGTCCCAGTATCTGATAAGCGAGGTGAAAGGTTGGAAGTTTTTTTCCTCAAGGCAACTTTTTTACTTCGTGGTCAGTCACGGAGTGATGGAATGTGCAGTTGACCCGTGGTGGCGAACTTGGGACTTGAAGACTCGGTCCGCGATCAGATATAGAAGTTGAAAACATGGCATCGTGTGGGTAGTGTGGTCCGCGGGGAACAACCTTGTACCGGTTTCGCGGCAAAAAATTGTAAGGGAAGGGCGCTATATAGGTTTACTGACGCCTCTCCAGTGACTCCCTCCAGACTCCGCCTCCAGACTCCGCCTTCAAGGCCCACCTTTCAGTGAAAAACGAAGCTGCAGGACGAAAAAGCATGAAAATCGTCACTTGTACGGTCGTAGAGTTCTTATCGGGGATCAGCTGTGCGGATGAGGGCGTAGTGTTGGAGATGGAGTTCACTGGGCACGTACAGATTAGGACCGGAGTGGGGTCCTATTTAGGGCAGTCGGCATGTTTTTTTGCTTTTTTCTTCACTATCGAGTTACTCAGCACCTTGCTTCTATATGCGGACCCCTAATCCACTATCTCTGAATGCGAATGATCACGGGTTTTGCTTCAAAGCGCGATTTGGAGCGCCACTCGGCACTGACTGCCTCCGTTCCGTGAAGAATTCTTAGGGAGAAACTTACGATGGAGAATGAAAGTTGGATGTATGGAGCTTCCAGAGCAGCTCAGCTCAGATCTTCTTTACCTTCCTGACTCTTCTGGTTATTTCTTATATCTTCATGCCCAGAGGACTCGACCTTCTGTGCAGCAGGACAGAAAAAAACGAAATATGGAATTATTCCTGCAAGTAAGATCCTGCCCGCATCCATTCCTTTTCTTGATGTGATTATTCGGCAACGGCTTCTGCTCTCGTTCTCTATTCGCCCTATCAAAGGCGATTTGTCAATGTCCTTTCTGCACCCGAAGGACTCATTGATGTTGCCTCTTTGATGTTTCCATAGACTGCACCTCTTTTGCTCCTCTTTTTCGCTTTTTCTCTGCGAATATTTCGATTTTGAATGTTTTTTGTTGAATTTTTGCCCTTTTCAGTACACCACAGCTGCTGGGACTATGTGGGTGGAGGTCATTCTCAGCACATTTTTCGTTCTATTCACCCAGGTAAAATTTTTCTAGCATTATTTGCAAACGCTCTCGGAATGCTATGCTTACTTTAGTTAAGTTTGCAGGTCAAGTTTAGCGCTCTTCTTTCTGGACTCATTTTGTCCCACGCTACTTTCGCATCTGAAGGGTGCTCATTGGATCATAGTCTAAAGC